TGCGATCTGTTTGCAATTCAGGCACGTGCAGTCTTCAATGCCACCAAATTACGTACCTTCATGTAATCAAACGAATATTTGATTGCGGAATCTGTCGAGAGATCTAACTTACCACACGTATTTTTATGATATTTGTTTAGAGGAAAATCGCCGCAAACATTGGCTATTGACCAAACGCATACTTATCTGTTGAGATGGTTACCCTAAGCATTAAGATTGAGATAGAGCCCCTATGAGAGAAACGCTATTTTGCAGCAGTACTTGATTACGCGCGTTGTCTGACTTTCAGAAAAAAAAATTGTTTTAAATTCAATTTCAGTTCACTGGACAAGACCCTTAACCTTTTATAACTCAACATCACTATGCATATTCTCCATATTGTTCTCTAAACCTTTGTAATTTGCTGACAAGAAAAGTTTGTGCAATAATCGAGAGCTTTTTAGTTAGTGATCATTTCCTTCATTCTCGCGACTTTATTACGTGATTCTGGGGTTGATACTGTAAGGAGAAATTAGACGCTCGTCACTCTTATGGGTTCAAGGGTTAATTACTTGAAAATTCCTAAAACTCATTTAGAAGATACATGCAGAGAAAAAGCAACGGTTTTCAGAAGCAATTCTATCCAGAAATAGTTTCTAGTCCCAAACCGGGGCATGTAAAAATGGTTTGATTGTTGGTTGGACAAAGATTGAGTCATACTTAGAATTTGTCGAAAATATAGAACTAGACACACGGGAATCCGGGATGTGCAGATCGAAATATAATTGCCATTTATCGAGTTGCGATGAAAGCCTGATTTCTTAGTATCAATTTCGGCGAAGAACGAACATGCTGAGGCGATCATGAAATTTCGGCGAAATGTTAAGTTTTACCAAGTGAACAGTAATACCAAGAAACAAAGGCTTTGATTTACAAAAGGCAATGAATTGTCGGTAAAATTCATAAAACTCTCGCTCAGATCGCCTCGATCAGTTCTCTCTTCTTCTTCACTTCTTGGTCGACCGATCGATCTTCTTTTACAACAGGAAAGACGATGGCAAACAACACATTTTATGGATATGGCCTAAATACCGCCACTGACGGAATATGCAATTGCCAGGTTCACTTTGTGCTCAAGTTTTTACCTAGATCATATCAGCGCAGACAATGATTTACTTCAATACTCAAACATAAAAATGATCCCTAAAAAAAACAATCGAAATGAGCCATTTCGCCTCGAAAGTCTTATACCACTTTTAATTTCACAGGTGTATATTCGAACACATCCAAACAATTAGGACATCAACGTAAAAACGGATGCGGCCATTTTGATCAGACCGATGGTTGGAGAGTGTGCGCTGTGTAATATTGCGCTCGCGCCGGGAAAATGATTTGCAGGGACAAAATGAAAATCTAAATATTGTGCGAAAAAGAAAAACTTTTTAAGCTTAGGTTTTTCGTTTTTTGTCCTGAATTCTTTTCACGTATACTTTATGAGATGTGCTCTTACTAATACGCCTGATGCAAAGTATTTTCTTCCAAAGGACTTTGAGATCTTCAAACAGACCAAGGGGTATATCATCAGAGTCCTGCTTCGTCAACAGGGAAGTATGAAAAAAATATTGGGTGTCGGTAAAAACACAGATGATTTCATATAGGTGTGCTTCGTCTAACACCATCAACGAGAATAGACACAACATGAACGACAATATTTTGTGCGGCTGATCATTTCAGGAGAATATTGTTTTGTCTGTTGTTCGGTAAACAGGAAGGAAAGTATAATATCATGATTTTATTGATAACTTCTTCATGTTTCAACCAGAGATATGAGACATTAGCAAGTTATGAAAATTTCATTGAGAGAACAAGATAAAAGCACAAAAAATAATTTATTTCGTGCTCTCTGAGCTTAAATTTTTATATACAAGTATTTGCAAGAATAAATGTCACAATTAATTGCTTTTAGTAACATAACAGTTATCGTTAAACTTAACTGGATAATGGTTCTTAAGTCTGATGAAAGTATTGCGAGAACAAAAGGAATAAAATTGGTTAATAGTGAACTACCATTAAATGTAGCTAAAATAACTAACAAAAGTACGATCGATGTAGGCTAGGATGTATTTTTGAACACAAAAAGCTTTAAATTACTTACCGATGGCCGAGTTATGCTCTTTACCAACTACAAAAAAATGTTGTCCAGTTTGAGGGCTGACAAAGCTTCTCTAAACTGACAGTGATTTGAAGTTCACTGAACGAAAGTTTACGGCTTATATGAGCAGCAATGACGTGTGTTAGTACACGTGTCATCTGCAACACGCGCCTATAGGCAGTTCCGCGGCAAACGGAATTCAGTCAGTTCCCACGCAAATTCAAAAGGTAGCCTGGCGCCTCGCTCTCGAAGAATATTCGAAGTGCCTGACTCGATTGTCTGTTTTCTTTTTTAATTATTATAATTGCAGTTCAATGCAATCACAGGGGACAAGATCAAACTTAACCTAAACAAATTGTGTCTACTTCTTCTAACTCTCCCAGGAGAGTTTTGCCCTGCAAAGCGTTGGCGATTGGTGCGGAAGAGCACTGGTCCGCCTCATTTCTCACGCCAGCTTTGATCACGCTTGAGCAACATTTCCTTGTAGGCCGATGGTTTCAAAAGGTTTAGGTCAAAGGTTTTGGTTTTTTTCTTTTTTTTTTCTTTCGCGATTTCTAGATAGTAAATTCCAAACTAAAAAGTTAAAAGGTGTACAACGTAGTTTTAACATTTACAGCCACAGACTAAATGGGCAAGAATGGCTTTAGCATTGTTAAAGAAGTCTATTCAGATTAAGATTTCATATAACGTGATTATACCAAAAGCTACTAAAAACTTAGTAATGAGTTCCTTGAGTTGATCTTGCCGTGAAGGACGTCAGAAGTTAAGATTGGTATTTCACTGCGGCAAGATGCTAAACAAATGCCTCATTTACCATATCACTAATACAGTTCACGCTCTGCAGCTATGTTCAAGATGGTCAAGCATTAGGAATGAAACGAAAAACACAAATATTGAAGAAAAGTTCAAAACATTACAACTGCACCATGAGAAACTATATATTTTTTTTAAAGCTCATAGCAAAATGAATAAAAAGGGTAAGTTTATACGAGTCTTTTACAATTAACGTCACTGAGTTTCCTTGTAAACTGATCCTAGATAAAGTGCCTATTTTCGACCTTTACGCATGGTATGATACTATGCACGCAGGAAGTATATGCAAGGTTTGGACATTTTTGGAAATTTCCTGTACCGACTGTGAATATATGAAAGTCATATATTTGTACTGCGGATAAAGACGTGAATATGAAAGCGATCTTCGCAGTATTGAACGCTTCTTGAGCAGTAATGAAATTGGCCACAGATTAGCCACGAATGAAAGGGTAAGTTTATGGACTTGATGATCAAAATAAAACTTCTCCCTCATTTTTATTTTTCTATCTTTCTAAAATAATATTTGGTTGCTTCCCTTATGCCGAGGATAACATCGAACGTGAAAGAAATCGACTGAAATATTCCGTTTTCAGCATTTAGGCAGGTCTAACAATAAGTTAAATTGGTTTTATCAACTGAGTTGAAAATTTAATTTGGCCACCATAGATAGTTTCTATGGTTTCTTCAACCTTAGAAACATTCTGTGGTGGCCAAACTAGTTGATAAGTCAAATTATTTTGTAATACCACCCCTCCCCCACCGACCCAAATTTTTGAAATAATAAATTTTAAGTGGCTTAACACAAAGCTACTGAAGCTGATTTCTATTGTGTCTTCGGATTGTAGAGCAGACATTTTTTCTTGTAACTGCTTCCGTTGAAGCTAAATGTTACCGCTTTCGGGAAAAGGTGCGAAATATTTTCTGGTTAGATTGACGCCCCTGTGATTAGTTCCTTTTAGATAGAAAATTATAGTTAGCGTTTCAGTTCAGAGAGACCCCGTGTGATCAAGATCGTTTTTGAATAGAAGACAAGTTAGACCGTAATCCTCGATAAAGTAATCAAGGCCCACGAACGTTAGTAAGGAATAACTTGTTATGTGGTCATGTTACCCAGCTCGTAGTCGTTACTCAAAGCCAAACTTATCGCTCGTTTTTTACCTTTCTTTTGGTTCTTTTAATTGCCATGTGCTCGTTTCCAAAATCGAGATTAATCTCATGCTATGATCACAATACTTAGGTGATTTTTTTTCGTAATGATTTCAGTTGACCGCTTCGATATAAGAACGCCTCATGGAATAGGAAAAATAATAAAGAAAGGAAAGATCATATATTAGTTTCGTGTTCATGGCGTGCGCGTGTATCAACCCGGGAATCGAGTTTCTAGCTCTAGCTTGAAAAGGAACATTTACATTTCTTACAGCTTCGCTGTTATTTACACTGCTGAACTTTCGATTTCATCCAACGATTACAGTAACTTAGTAACCTGACATATGCCGTTGTCTCGCGCGGTCTTGTTTGTTACGCGCGATACTTCGAAGCTGTTCGGTGTTCCTTCGTTCTACTTATCTACTTTCAAACTCAGCATTAAAATAAAGGTTAGGTAAAGGCAAGAAGATTTCATTTTCAATGTGATTTACAAAATATGGCAAAGTACTTCTCCAATAAATCGAAGTGCTAGTGCGCTTAAGTCGTGGAATATAAACAAGTGCTGATAAACTTCCACACGGTTGCATTGTGCTCTGCAGTTTTTTAATTCCCCGTGTTTTCAACACATTCCCAGAAATAAGAGATTAACTTTTGGGAAACTTCTATCTGTCTGAATGCTACCTCTTTGACCAGAAATGATGAAAAATCTGATTTTTGTGCTTAAAAATGGGGGTCGACTTATACACGAGTAAGTGTGGTACTTCAGATATCGCGGGAACAGTTCAAATAGGTTGTTTGTTCAATTGAAATGCACTGGAAGCTTGTTCTCCACCAATACAAGAAGAAAAGAAGAAAAGGAAAACACTTCACACTGACAAACTCTTTAGAAGAAAGTGGTCTTGATAATACATAATTAACACAACTGTCATTTAATACTTGATCAAATGATCTAACAAGCCAGTTTGAAAGGATCTCTATTATATTACTATTTTGACTCATTATTAACATTCTAGTTTTTTAAAAAATTCCATTGCAAAAACAACAAGACTCATGTATGCATGTCATTTGCCCAAAAAAGGAAGTGACCAGCACTTTTATCATCAAAATCTCATAAAAGTTATTCTTTTAAATATTATTTACAATTACTTCATACAATGAGATGTAAAAAATGAAAAAAAAATCGGAGCTTGACATATTGAAGTAAGAAATGTAGAAAAAAATTTGACCCCTGACGCAAACTTTGTACTCAAATGATTATCTATCTTCAAAAGATATTGCTGACTATTTCAAGATCCGTACTGAAAGAAGGATGTTGCTTGAATGACAAAAAAGCACAGCAATTTCAAAGATGAGAACATTTTGGAAATTCTGAAAGAGTGGTCAGAATTCTGACGTTTTTTAAAGAGCATCTTAAGGGGTAGGGAATGGGTGGGGAGAGGCTGGAGGAGCTGGGTGGTTGAGGGGGGAGGTCAGGGGCTCAAATTTGCTGAAAAAGACCGTTGTTTCTCTCGGTTTAAGCCAGTAACTCTAAGAAAAGTTTTAAGTAGAAATTATGCTATCACATCAATTGGTTGAACATAATTATAACATAATAATTGTCATCAATTTTTGGTTGAACAATAGAGAAACAATTCTCTATGCAAAATTCACTCTCAGAATTCATTCAACTGATGCACAACACTCCTTTTTGACTTCGATTTGAAAAGTTATTATTGCGTGAGCACATGTAGTAGAAACATCCTTTGTTACTGAATTTCAACATAATGCCTCCAAATGATGCTGGGGCATTATTCAAAAGAACATCCATTTTGGTATTCTTGGTTTCCACAGACTCAGCAGCACATGTCTTACTCCGCAGACAGGTATAGTAACCTTTCAAATGAAACACACAACAAAATTGGAAATTGGATTTGTAATCAATTACTAGAAACATTAACCCTTCACCCCTAAGAGTGACTAGCATTTAATTTCCCCGAACAGTATCATCTCTGAGTCAAACATGAAGGTCTTGACAACAAAGAAAATGATCGCCAACTTAAGAAGTCCTTGATTGTTAAACAAATTCTCCTTGCCAGTGTATGGGAATTGAATGGAGAGCAGTATGGAGAATATGCATACTAAACTCAGGATGTGAAGGGTTAAACCCCACACTAAGGTATCTTTTTTCTGTATTGCTGCTTGGTTGTAAAATTCCCATTTCAAAGTTACTGCTGTTAAGAGGATCAGACTACACATTAATTTTGTTTGACCAATCTAACCAACTTTTCCCTCCAAACAATAAAAATCTGGGAATAATCTATGCATGTTTTTGTGTAAAACAGATGAATTCACCTAACCAAGAAGGAGTTAGAGAGCTTACTGCACAGCCAGCAGTTACAATTACTTTGAATTACTGACTAGGGTTTCCTTTTGTATCCCACCCTTCCGCATGACATGCCATATGAAAATGGACAAATATTGTACAAGACTGCCAATTTAAAAAATGATTAAACTGCCATACCTGCACTTGCCAAGCTGACAGCAATATCCTCTGGTTTGGGGTCTTTTAATTCAAGGCTGGACCAAACAGCTGTGGCCCCCTGAAACATTTTGGACATTTCAAATGGGAGGGGGTAGTTATCCAAGGAATTGCCAGTTTCTACAATGTTATTTCTGTCAGAGCCTGTGGAATAACAAATCAGAGAACATTTCACCTCCTCAGTTTTAAAATCATAACAAGTTCCCGACTGTCCTCAAAAAGAAGATATAGTATCAACTGTACATTTTATCTGTGAAGGCTGGTACCATCTCTAAGCCTGGTTCAGGTGTGTTTTCATACCTCGAATATTATCACTCACTATGCGCTGCAAAAATGGGGTACTGAATGACATTGGTTTTATTACTATCTTTCACCTTCAGTCAAATATCTGTTTTCCTTAATTTTTTTCATGAATTTATATACAGAATGCAGAAGTTAAAAAAAAACAAAAACAAAAAAAAAACCCACTTACCACTCTTGCCTTCACCAGCATCCCCAGCTTGGCCATCACCAGCTGGACTATTGTTGTTATGTGAATTGGAGCCTACAAATGACAGCCACAAAAGAATTTATCCATGCTGAAGCCATGATAGAAGGATTTGCTAGCCACCTTTACAAAAACTGGTATTCATGTACAGTAACAACTGGCACAAAGATCTGTTTATGTTAGATGTTGAGAAAAAGTTTTTCTTACCTGTCCATTGAATGTGCACAACATCAGTTTCTTTTTTAATGTTCAGTTTGTTTGGGACAAAGTCATACTCAACAGCTGGATAAACCTCATAGGAAGAATAAATTCAACAAGAAAATAATCAATTATCTGTCCCTCAACAATGAAGCAGTTGTCATGTTTGTACAAAATGATTCACAATAAAACAGCAGAGCTGAAGTCTACAAACCCAAATTTTAGCTGGTAAAAATTCAATCTGACACAGATACACATACGTCAAAAGCTAAGAGGTTTTAAAAGTGGGTTATAGTCTATAATCTTCCACAACAAAGTACTCTCTATTGGTGATAAATACCTGTACAATATTTCCTCTTTTCCCACGAATATTCAAATTATAGATATTCTTGTCGAGAGGCACAGCTTCTGTAAATCGTGGACTAAGTTGAATGATGTGGGACCTGTCCTGAAATGTTCTTCCATACTGTGCGGTATTTAAAGCAAGTTTTAGAGGTGATGTAGCACCAATGTCAACTGCAGGATTCTGCTGAATCAACCTGGTGAAAACATACAACATATTACAAACTTTGTGGTATAAATTTCAAAACTTGCCACTGCACCTTCAATTACCATGCAAACTATGAAGTTTACTTTGCAGGAAAGAGTATGCTTAAGATGGCATTTCAGTCAGTTGAATAGTGTAATAATAATAATAATAATAATAATGGAAAATAAACAACAACAACATAAACAAACCAACAAGGAATAGACCCCACTAGTTACAACTCAAGATTGCAACTCTTGTACAACCATCCATTTACAACATGACAAAGGAGTTAACCCATTACACCCTAACATGAGTATCCACATTCTCCATTCTATTCTCTACAGATATCTTTTAGTACTGACAAGGAGAATTCATTTGAATATCAGAGCTTCTTAGCTCGGCAAGCACTTCCTTTATTCTCATGATCTTAATGAATGATTTAACAGTATTACAGTAAGGAGAAATTAGATGCTGGTCACTTTTAGGGTTTTAAAGGTTAAAATGCAGTTTTCACATTGTATAGTTTCACTGCAGTGGCAAGGATACTTACTTATTATTGTAAGTAGCATTAGTGTTCCAGCCATCATAGTCACTTGTTGATATGTTATATCTGAAAGAGATACGAAAAAACACTGTAGAAGGACAGTTAAGCAACAATTACTGTTACAATAACACTAATAAAAATACCATTTATATATTTCTATGGTGCAGATAAACATGACTTATGCATTTGATCAAATGAGCTTTACAACAAAAAAACCATCTTAAAAGTTAAAATTCATTATTAATAAGTAAAAATACATTCTATATCCTAGAAAAAAAAAACATTGTACTTAAATGCATATCCTACATCAGAAGCTCCAGTGTAGCAAAGAAAAATTGTCTTTAAACTTGAGATTTAAAATGGGCTTGAGTGCCTGCATTTCTGATTAATATTGGTAAGTAGTAGTTGGTGGTGAATGACATTTGATTACACCCCTCCCTCTGACACACATACACACACACACACACACCCAGTGGAGGTTGCTATCATCCATGTCAAGTGGAGAGTTGTTTATCTGTCCCAATATTTAAGTACTGCAGTGCATGTAAACTGAATGGTCTGTTTTGTAATGACTCAAGTAGCCTAATTGGTCAACTTTTATCTGTCAGTAAGTTTAGGTTGTTGTATTCCATTTGTTTGTTATGTAAATGTTTTGAGTAATTGGCTTGTATGGTGCTGGTCCAAGGGCATAGCTAGGGGGGGTCCTGGGTTGCCTGTATCCTCCCTTTGTAAGTTTTTTTATTTGTAACATTAGGATAAACATGGCGTGGAGGTCAACATGACAATCTAGTGAGTATCCTCTATTTGACACAGTGTAACCCCCCTTTGAAAAATCCTGGCTACACCCCTTGTGTAGTAGTTGAGAAATAGTAACAGCTGCCTTCACTCCTACTAAGGCTGTTGAAATGCCAGTCACTGCTAGCAATAACATTCTTTTCCAGGGCTACTATTAACTGGGTGATTACACACTGCTGAATATTAACAGGTTTACCCATCTTTAATGTTACTCACCTTATCCTAAATACGCATAATTGAGCTAAACCAGATGGAAAGCGTGGAATTGTCCAAGTAAAGTTTGGTGTCACCCCATCTGGAGTGTTACCAAGATGATTGTCCCTTGTCCAAGGAGCTTGACCACAGTGAGGTGCATCAAGTTTAACTAAACACCGAGGCTTATCAGAACCAAGAGGGATACCCCAAACATGTCCTGCATTTTTACATTTATCTTGATTGTTGTACTGTACAGAAGTTATGTCCTCAAGATAGTTTGTAAACATCATCCATTTCCCTCCATTCTCAGTGCAGTCCTTTTCATTGTTATGTTTTGACCATTTTTTGCGTAACTTCTCATCAGGTGCTAGGTAATACTCAACACATTCTCCTAACAATCAATCAATCAATCAATCAACCAATCAGTCAATTAGTTCATCATACGTTCAATGGATTCAACCCCTAATGCTAGGAAACCAATTGAAAGGAACATTGAAAACGCATCAGATGCTAATGACAAAAACACTTTGTGAACATTTTGCAGTTCAAAATGATTTCAGACCACTTTGATTTGGATTTTTCTTTCTGTTAAAGAGACTATGGTTGATAGAAAATATCCTGAAAAAGGAAAATACATATTGATCACACTTGTCTGAAGTCACTTCAACCTGACATTAATTTTGAAATGTAACATTTGCATTGGTACATCAAGTAAATTACAGGAGCTAATAACATTTTTGACCCTTTAACTCCCAAGATCTAATCATGAATTCTCCATACAATTTCCCATATGTTGTTTATCATTCTAGTTCTGAGAATTTGATATTTTCATCTTTGATATTTTTGTTTCTTCTTGTTACCTTTCTGTTTAGAAATGAATGGATATTGTACTGAGGAGAAATTCCCTTTCAGTCACTCCTGGAAGTAAAAGGGTTGAGAAGCACATTTACAGTATATGGTCAAGTACAGGTGCAGACCATGCAAGCAACTTACGACTGGTCACTTATTACAACAAAAAAAATCCAAAAAGTTACTGTATAATTTTTAATTCTAGAGCCTATAAATATTTACCTTTGGGTTCAACATTGAAGCTGTGCTTTTTGTAATATTCACACTGGGATGTATCACTTGTTAAAACTGCAATGTCTTTCCATTCTGTAGGATGCCAATAAGGATAATAATCTCTCTCCTCTGGGCACTCGTATCCTCGTCGTGTGCCTGTGGGATTCTGTCTGGTGTAGATACTCTCTTTACCAGCTAGCTTTTGATCAGCTGTGAACAAACCTGAGAAATTTATATATAGAGTTAGTGAGAATTTCTTATAAGAACAAATAATAGAGAATGATTCAACAAGATTTCAGCCTGTTTGGGACACTGTGACCCTGTGACAGCAATGTAGAGATCTAAACAACTCAGGTTCATAAATAAAAGAGAGCAAAAGAGAAAACCGAGTCACAGTAAGTTATTTTGAACTCATCTTTCCAAATTCCAGTCTTGTTAACAGCGGGTCGATAATTTCGTCCGATTGTGCATAAACAAACCTTGGCTAGTTACCAGTACAAAGCATTGAACCATGATCTTTAAATGGATTGTACATGACAGTACATGGAGACATATTCATGGCATGGTCTTTCCTGTGTGCTATGCCCATTATACCCACATATTTTGGTTCCATTACCTTTGAGCTGTAGCTTACACTACAGCAAATTCAGTGCACCAGGTTAAATGAATATTAGATGTCACATGAATATCATTTCATTATATTTGAGAAAATCTTCAAGGGCCTAATTTTCCAAAACACAAATTTATAGACAAGCAAAGGAAATAAGAGCCAGTAGATGAATACTTATCATTGATTCATGTACATTAATTCTCTAGGTTTTGCCACTAAAATTAAAACATGTAAATCTGCAGTGTCAGAAAATTAAGGTCAACTAGAAAAAGTTAAAAAAAAAAAACTCACCTCCATTGCGTTCCCTTCTTCTGCATTTATCATACCACTCCCATGACTCATGTAGTCCTCTGTTATTATCATTATCTCCATTTTTCCTTGATTCATACTCATTACGCTTCTCTGCATCTTTCTTTTTTGTAGCAGTGAACTTCGGTGTGTTTGTATTTATACCATTGCGTTTAGTATTATCATCAGGTTTGTCTGCTAATGGCTGACACATGTATTGCAAAACAACATTACTGTTCATCTTGTGAGGGTTTATGTCATTTCCCCCAGAGCCATGTTGATTGGTCCACTCAAATGTGAGAAATGATTTCCCTCCACTTTTGGGTCCACTCTTGGGTCCACTTTGGAAAAATTTCTGGAGAGAGAAAAACAGTTTACATGTAGGAACATTACTTAATATGAAGAATTATTGTGTGATAGAAATACTTTTCCCTTTATCTTCAAAACAACTCATGATAAAAATGAAAATGAGATCCTGAAATCCTGACAGGGGTTCAAAAATCTTCACATTTTCCCTGTACATATGATTAACTCTGACAATGCTCTACTTTAGAATCAAAATAGAGGTTACCATATTATATTGGTCTTTAGCACTTGTCGCAGCTTTATCTGTCTTGTCTCCAACATTATATCCACCTCGATTATTATTCTGTGAAAAAAAAGTATTGTATGTAAACCACCAGTAACAGTAATTCTACCTGGACATGATGCCAGTCCATCATAAGGCTGCCCCTAGCATTTCCTAGCAATTTCTTGGAACCTTTTGATACACCTGGGTGAAGAGAATTATTGTGTGAGTCCTTCCTAAAAACCCAATGTTCTGACTAGGTCCTGTGGCCTTTTTTTTCAGAATCCTGATGGTTACTGATCCCAAAAACCAATCTTCTCTTTGCCATTTTTTGCCCAATAACAAGAGGTCAACAGCTTCCAATTTCAAAGGAATAAAAATATTGGGAAATTAAGAAGAATAGACTAGTTTTTGGACTGAGGCAGGCAGTACTACTCCTTAGACTTAGAATTCAAGCTACAGCTCAGACTTGTAAAGTTAACATGACTCAGACCTTTCAGTTCAGAGTACTATATGGCACATTTTTTCTGGCACCACTTCAAATTCTGTTAAGTGTTAGAAAGAGGGGTTATTTCAAGAATTTCCCTTTAATTGTAGAGTAGTTTTAAATAATTGTCTTTTTTAGGATGCTTGGTCAAGTGTTTGTGGTGACCAGCCAAAAATTAATTGAACAATGCAAATGCTTCTTAAAAACAAGAGCTTCTTCCAATAATAGGCTCTTGTTCAACTTCCTCATGAAAGCAGTTAGCAAGTGACCCTGATAATAGTTATCAAAACAATATCCTGTAGCAAATAATTTGTGGAAAAGAGATGACAGCCTTGTCAACATGTGGGCATTTTGTTGATAAGAAACCGAATTCTCTTCACTTAGCTACGAGAAAATAAATTGGAGCTAGTAAGGGGATTTACTTCTCAGATATCGACAGCTGGAGGGTTTAACTAAAAAACTAAATCACAATGCTGAACCTACCACTTCCAGCCAACCATAAAAATCTCAAAGTTTTTTCGAGAACGAAAGTGTTGACTCTCACCTATGTCGCCTTCAAAGTCCCTGGTAGGCTAACGCCTAATTATAACTTGATTCATTCATCACTTTCCCCGAAACAACTTTTCCGTTTTCTTATGAGCTCTCAATTTAGCACAGAGTGTTAGCTCTACCATCTGACAAGTTTATCAAGTTGGAATACCATGACATAAAATCATCCACGCACATCACGGTAATTAAGTAGCTTTTGAGATGTACGCTTATTGTGGCTTTCCAAGGGCAACAGCCACTTGCTTAAACGCTATTCTTTACCTGAGAATCAAAGAGTCTGTTAGCATTTCTTCTCTGAGCCGATCTCTCGTTCAACCGATTATTGCTTCCACGGGGATTGTGCAAGTAGACGTCTCCATAACAGCGAGAAATAGCCAAGACAAGCACCGAAATATAGCAAAGATTCATCCTTCCTAAGGTTGGTGAGACCATCGATTAGAGTTGGTTGGACTAACTTGCCGTCTTCTCGCACAAAAAGAAAAGAGCAAAGCGATTTCGAAATAAGCTGCAGAGGTTTCAACTTGCACCAGGCACAAGAAGTTAGCCTGTTATCATTACCATATTTGGTTATGAACCCTGGCTTCCGGGTGTCAAAAACGGAAAATGACGTCACTGACGAGATGGTCTATGTAGGTGACATCAGAGGTGGCTTTAGCTGTTTTCGGTTTCGTTGCTAAGTGGCTATTCAGTGATGGTGCCGATTTTACGGAAGTGATTCTAGTCCCTGAACTTTGTCGGTAATTATCAATATGTCTGCGGCTTTATTTAAAATAAAAGTTCAAGCCAAGCACAAGCCAACTGGATTATTCGAAACGATTTCAAGTGTTCGAGGTCACGCCACGGCCGTCGCGGGCCAATGTGGGCTCAACTCAAAATCATTATAGCCCGAGAATCAGGCGAGGGTTAAAATGACTCTGAGGGACACCAAAGTATATTTTTGCCTAAGAACATAAACTGTATTATAAATATTATCACTTTGGAGTGCCGTTGATAAAAAGAAAAAAAATGACAACAAGCAGTCTGAACAATCACGCAAGCGTGAGGGAGGGCCAAAATACATTCCAGTCTGCCAGTCTCCTTTCCAGCCCGCAAAAAGTGCCACCATGCTCAACAAAGTGATAATGATATGGGCTTTGGGTATCTCGTGTTCGAAATTTTCATTAGCTTATATAAACTCTCGCTTTCTTTTTATCTACAGGTGGGGTCTACCACGGCGATAGAGAGTATGGGGTATAGGTCGTATCAATTAATTTTCTTCCCATTCAGATTCACCATAAACATCCATGAACGAATTATATGACGTGTAGCTCGTATGTCAAGCCAAGTTGCAGTTGAAGTTAAAATGTTTTGTTCTCAATTTAAACATATATTCTCTGATAAATATAGTGGAGATTCTTACCGCGTCCGTAACGAAAACATGTGTTAATTCAGTGCAGTTTGGTCGACTACGATTCCGATTCCCAACTTTGATACGTGGCAACCTCAAGCTCTGGGAATTATAAGAAACTGCAAATGGTTGACCGTAATTCTCTAAGAGTTTCGAAAAAATATCCATTTAAACATTCATCCAAAGTATACGAAAAGGTTTCAGCCTGCCAACTTTGCCCAAAAGTGCCCTATTCCCCTAGTAATCAATGTCTTGGCTCGAATAAAGACTAGGCTCTCCATGGTTGACCACACGTCCGTGTTCACTGGATTAACGATTGAAAGCCCTTCCCATGATGCTTTGTTTAATATATAGATTTAGCCAAGCCTAAAAGCGGAGCTAACCATCGTTATTATTAATGTTGTTATCATCATCTACAGGAAATTCTTTTTGCAGATCAAGTACTGTCCACAAAACTCACTAAAATCAAAACTGAGAAATTTCAACTTCCTTTCAAGAGTGAAATTTGTTTTATTTACCACACCTGAAACAAAAAAATATCAGAAAGATTTTGATAAAATTTTTTTCTTCAAATGTCTTACAACTTGTGATAAATTTAATTTATCAATAATATTAAATCTACAATAAACAAATGCTACAATAATTTACACCACTTGGAATGATGTAATTTTGGACAATATTTTTGGATATAATGCATGCTGTCCCATTACAATTGCTTCCATACAAGATAAAAATGAAATTTTAAAATGATTGTTTATCATAATCAAATAATTATTTGCTGCAGTCAAACAGGACATAGATCAAGCCACTCAATAAATTATAAAACTGCTAGACATGAATAGAAACGATTCATATCACCTCCAAATATTTTGCAAAATAATTCAGAAATCATCCTTAACATGACGAGCTTTGCTCACCAAAAGAATTTATGCAAATGAGGCTGAGGCAGATCTGAGATCCGCCTATCACCTCGACCGAATGATTTTCAGTAACTTTTTTGGCACTTTTCGGCATCCAAATTGCATGGCGAGAGTAACCCAAAACCTTAAAGCAGACACAAACACATAAATTCACTTTGACAATCATTTTACGCATCCCTGGTGAGAATTCTTTTCTTGAGCAAAGCTCGTCATGTAAGATGCAATAATCACCTGATCTCTTTAACCAGTAACCATTAACAATTATGTTTTATTAAGTGTACCAATGGAAGTGGCTATAATCTATGCCTAGGTTTAAGTTTAGAATAAGTTTAATTCAATGTCTAAATAAATTATCAATGTTTTCCTTTTGAAAATGTCAGCAAATAACAAATTTAATAAAATGGGATGAGGGAAATGCATAGTGTGAAAGCAGGCTTTCTCATTGGTTCTACCACATGCGCATTCTGCTGGCTTTAATGAGTCAGCTTGTTCACCAGCCTAAAATCACAGCACCAATAAAGAAGTTAAGGTTTCCAAGGTATTCTGCCATCTTTTTATGACTTTTTTATACACAAAACTGAGTCCTCCCCAAGAAGAGAACACAACTCCTGTAATCTTTGCTGCATCTTAGGAACTCCTGCAAGCTGGGATTCAAGTTTCTGTTTCTCTTCATTCAGTGTGAGTCTGGTGGCAGTGTTCAGTTCCTCCCAGCGCCATCCACCTTCTCCATCAAACTGTAGCAAATGTGTGTGAAATTTCCTGTAAGGAAAAAAAGAGGGGCCTTTGATGTGCTAATATGATGGGAAGTCCTGGGCTCTTAGAGCTATCATCCTATTCCCCTAATTTTTTCTGTATACACATACTTTTTGGCACATTTTTGCCTGTTTCCCAAACTAAAATGCATGAAATTGCAGATGAAAACAGAAACTCTCTAATTAAAAACAGTTTCAAAAGTGGAGTCTAAAGAAAGTACCATTCCATGTAAGTGTTCACTGAAGTCTTGCACATCAAGCTGTAAATGTATGTGCTTAGGCTGTAATTCAGATACTTTCAAGTGACTCCTCATGACCTACAACTTTATAGCCCTGCTTTCATGGGATATGAACATCATAGTTAAAACAGTAGCTGAATGAAAGGTTCTCATCAAACAATTTTCAGTAATTTACATTACATTTCAACAGAAAATGTTCTTAATTAAATACAAACCAGAGTGAAGGTCTGTGTGAGATGCTTAACAGACTTATGCCTTCATCTTTGGCAGCTTGGAAAATACTCCCTTCAACATCAATGCTCACAGCACTAGTACACTCATCAAGAAGAGCAAACTGTGGCCTGCAAATCAGCAGCAAATTTTATTGTTAAAATTATATAATTGGACTGGTCTAACCCTTCTAAACCTTTAACCCCAGTAACTGACCAAGATAGAATTTATCCTTACCCTGTACAATATCAATACAGTATCTAGCATAAAAGTGACAAGAATAAAGAAAAATATCAATTAAGGGATTATTAGTTGATCTAAAACCAAGCTCTTAATTAAAACTATCCTATCATAATAACTGAATGTCAGTCAGCGAGGAGAATTACTAAAATGAGATCTTGGGAGCAAAAGAGTTAAAGTCTCTGATGTCTGAGTTGAGTCATGGTGATTAAACATTCCCTCTTGCAAATTTGCACACACTTTTGCCCATATCATTTTATTTCAGCAGCAAAAGCAGACCAATGAAGGCAAATTATATACTAGGCAAGTGAAATGGAGTGATAATCAAATTAGCTTATGACAATCAGTGAATAACCCTTTTTATGTCGATTGAACTAATTAAAATTAGAAGAGTTGGATGATAATTAGAACACACTTGTGATAGAAGAGACGTGCCATTCCCATTCTCTGTTTTTCTCCACCTGAGAACACATCCTTCCATTCCTTGATGGCATCCCACCCTTCAAAATCAAACACAGCATACAAATAAATTACTAACAATAATGTACTAGTAAATTATGCATCACAGCTGGCTATAAATATGTAATTAAGAGTATACAAAAGCTTGATCTCAAAGCCAGAGAAGAGAAGTCCATGTTAATGATCATACTTCCCTGACCCCCCTCCCCTGGTAGGGAGATTGAGCACTAGTGGTTGTGTTGGAACACTTTAATTGGGATATTTTAAAATAATTAAATATGGCAGCATACCTTACACATACATGTGTTAACTTGTAACCTGTTACTCCAGTGACTTAATTCCACAAAAGAAAGTTAAATTTCACAAACTTCAAGATTAAATAAGATGTCACGTCATTCTTAAGGAATTCACTGATCATTTAAATTTTGACTTTTCCTAGGGATAAAATATCAGACCTCCTTCTCTTTTGATGATGTACTGCAGGTGAACTGTGGTCAAAATAGTCTCTAAGTCATCATCAGTAATGCCATGGACATGCATGTCTTCAAAAGTGTGAGGGTAAATCACTTGATCACGAAGTGAACCAATAGGCATGTAGGGTCTAAAAACATAAGCAACAGTTTCAATTAATTACCATGTATAATTTATTTATTGCTTATTTGATCTTTACAGTTAACAGTATAGCAGGCATGAATATTTTATTTTAATGTTTAATAATACTGTCCTATGACAGCTACATTACAATATACAGTACCAAATAGTTCTGTGTTTACCTGGAATAAATGATTCAAACCAGTCAGTTAACCCAAGACCCAAGTTGTTTGAAACATTATCAAGATAACTGAGGGTAAGAGTGTACTTTCCACTACTATTATTAACAACAGATTAATTTTTACTAAATAGTTAATTGTTGAAAAGTGTAATTGACCCAAGAGAACTTGCATTTAACATCCCAATTTCAGTAGGTTCTGTCATTATTAACAAGTAAGTGTCAAAATCATTCTCTGGTAAACAAAATATTTACATGTTCTAGTGGGTCAATATGCCATAACTTAAAGGACAAAAAGCTGAAAAGAAAAAGATAAATTAAGCAGTCTAAAACCAAAAGCAGAGCTAAAAGTATTTTGTTATATAAATCAATATAGATTGTATAGTCACACAGCCCACCTTTGTGGTATGTAGAACATGTGGCTTGGGGGAGGTTTTGCTAAGAATCCTTTGTAAACTGGCCACAGACCACCGAGAATACGAAATAATGAACTTTTACCACAACCATTTGGACCTGTGATCAACAGATGCATTCCTGGTTCCATCTGAGAAAATTAAGTTAAATCAAGAATGAACATAAAAAAAATTATAGTGGAATATCTGTTGATTGAAAGTGCAGTTACCAGTAGTAAGTATTTCATCTTCAAACACAACTTCATGCCATACACTTACATGTACATGCAACTGATGATTATTACAACTACTAGTCATCAGCATAGTCAAAAATTAAACAATTTTTCTATTGTAATCAAGGCTATCAGCAGTCTAATTTGAGCATTTATTCCACAGAGTATTCATCATGCTTGTGATTGGACAGTCTTGAGCGACATGTCATGCCTGTACAACTCTAAACACCACCAATCATTAGTGTACAATGTTATTAATACAGACTTCATGTATTTCATGTATTGAACTCCTGGCCCTGGTTGTTCAAAGGGAGCTATCTACTAGATAAACTTCTATCCAATGGTTAGAGCAGTGCATTTTCTTTAGCTAACAGATCTGCTGGATAAAGATTTATCTGTCAAATTGCTGTCTAAACAACTGGACCTCACATTTTCAGACTGAATTTGACTCCACTTGGTTGTATAATCATTATCCACCATTACTTGATTCATTTCATAGCTCACCTCAAATGATAAACTTGACACAACCACATCACCACATGGCGTGATAATAGCAACATCTTTCAGGACAATACTACCCTCTGTATCCACTACTTCACCACCAGGCATTTGATTTAAATCAACAACTTCACCATGTACCCCCACACTGGAATGCTCCTTTTCCTCAAGAGCAGAGTCCTCCACCTGTGTCAACTCTCGTGAGATCTGTCGTTCACAGTGCCCCTGTTGAACATCTTCAAAAACATCAAGCATCTCTGATACTCTGGCTGTGTAACCACTCAGCTCTATAATCTAACAGAATGCAGAAGACAAAAATATTGATTAAAATCTTAATTGATGTTTCTGAAAAAAAAGAACAACCACTTAGCCAAGATTTACAAATTTAAGTGCTTTAAATTAGAATATAACAATATAGCAGCCAAATACTCAGAACTGTGTCATGAAAAACCCTTTACCTATAGTTATTATTTGCCACTGACTGCTGAAGGGAGTCAGAATCCAAAAAAGTGGAAGACACATGCCTCAATTAAGGCTTAGTACAAGTACATTCTCAGCTTTTGAAACTACTTTCTTTTCATGTTTTGCAACAATATGCTTTCAGAAGCAGCAGATTAGTGCATACAGTGTGCGTCACCTAAATAATCTTTGCACAACTCAATTAATGTTATGTCTGTTTGCAAACATACACTAATTAGTCATAAACAGTGTTTTAAGCATGTCCTGACAAACATTAATCAATCCTTTAGACAGGGAAACAACCAATAATTTTAAATACAGAAATTACAAATAAATATTTCATTAAATTGTATTGTCAATGCTCACCTCCTTGTAAGAAGACATGACCCTTTCTATGGCATCTGCAGCAGAAACCATCAGCGAGCGTGATGTTGTTACATGTTCAGTTCTTTCACTTACACCTTGATCTGCTGGCCCCAGTTGTTCTTTTTCAGTCCCTAAATAAAAAGAAACATTAAGTAGGGCATTACTTTTGCAGGGCTTTATAAAGAGCAGTAAAAATATTTTAACCACACTCAAGAAAGGATATTGTAATTCTGAAATCTATACTTTGAAATAATTCAAAAAGGTCAACTTTAGGAATCTATAAAATTATCAGAACACCTCCAAAATTGTTGACTCTCTCAAAATGTTATCATAATAATTATAATAACTATATTCAATTAAACTTTTGCCAATTCCTCAAATTTTTAAATTTCTCAGCATAAAGATACTTTTCATTGCAAACTTTCATATGGTGTTGTACATTCAAAGAAATAGAGTAACTGCTCTTTGTTCTAGCAAAATGATGCAAATTGAGGGTGCAAATCTTTACAAAAATTTTCACACAAAATTTTGAGGAAACTTAACAATGTACAAAAACAAAAAAAAGTTCTTGCTTTCAGTTTGCAAATTACTTTTGCACAATACTGTACAGTCATGTACCATACCAAACCTGCTTTAACAATACTGACTTTTGAAAATTAAGTTAACTCATTAAAAATATACCCTCCATACATGTAGACAAAATGTATACACTCAGTAATTTGGCTACATGTAGATTTGTCTTAAGATCTGAAGCACTTTTCACACCCAAAAAGGAACACAGTAAATAAAGAGAGTCACATGAGTAATGCACATTTGGTGAAAACTTTTGACATCAACCTTTTCCTGTCAATATGCTTGATCCAACCATGACAAGACCTGATGCACTCCACACATACTTCATTAAGAACTGTTCCAGCATGATGAACCACAAACGCTTGCTGAAGAGCAACTCCATTTGTTGTGCTAATGATTGAAAACTTTGTTTCAATAATGACAGTTCAACCTGTAAACAAAACGAAGTAGCTATAGTCACATAGACTCATCACTATGTTACCATCCTTTAACCCTTTACACCCTAACATCAGTATGGAGATTCCTGATACTGCTCTCTGAACATTTCCTACAATGCTAACAAGGAGAATTTGTTCAACAATCAAGAGCTTCTTTTGTTGGCAATCCTTTCTGTCATTCTCATGAACTTAATGTGAGATTCTGGGGTGATGTTGTTAAAAGAATTTAGATGCTTGTCACTCTCTGGGTACTAAGGGGGGGGGGGGGGTAAGGGGGGAGAATGATCAACCAAACATACATTATTGGCAGAGACTCAGTGTGCACAGGCTGTTCATGTAAGATGGTCATAGCCTAAGAGAAATGTCTTATCAGACTCTTAGAATTGTGACAGCACTATCTAATTTCAAAGATGGTTTTCCCCGTATTCAATACAATTGTCCTCCTTCAAACATTTAGTTTACTGTTTTTTAACCTTGGATAGTGGTTGACCTTATTGTCTAATTCCTAAAGGTTTGGAAATTTATCACAAAAGTTTCTCCTTTATATTCTTTTCTGTGTAGTGTAAATAATTTAGTAATTATTACTAAGCAAAGGCAAAGATTGCTTGTGTCAAATAATCTGTGAGGAAAAATTAAGGGGATTGTTTGAAAATATATAATATTGGTATTGCCTAGATAGCTGTGCAACTACATTTATGTTGATCTGTCTTTTTTTAGCTCTTGAGACATCAACAGACATATGGTAGTCAGAATTAGAGTATCAGTATTATTCTCTTCTTAGAATGGGTTATTCAAGTTAAATAACAGGCATTGACCTTTCAAAGCACATAATTGCCTAATTTTCTGTGGTTTTTTATTTCTTTTTTTTTTTTATCATTTTGATTTTGTTTTGTTTTGCCCTTTGATTGTTGTTGTCTCTTTTTTTTCAATTTTTATTCACTGAAAAGCTACAACTTCCTTTTCCTCCCCGTTTTTTACTTCTCGGTCACCGCCCCCTATCCACCCCCAATTAATTATTCATTAGTGCTCCAGGATAATTTATTATCAAAACATGTACATACAATTCACCTACCTTATGGCCACCATAAAAGGCTATTTCCTCAGCATTTGTAATCACTCTAGAGTGAAGGAATCTAAGCTGACCCCTCCGCTGTGACTCTTCGGCGACAATCTTGCCGAACCTGGGACTTAACTTTCTTAAAATCTCCGCAGTAAGATAAATCACCACAGCAGCTATGGTGACTGGTACCTTCCACGAAGTTCCTCTCTTTCTGGCCATTCCATCCAAGGTCCAACAAATAACAAAAATATCTAGGCAAGGTTTGGTGAGATGAGAGTAAAGATGAGCGACTGAACTGCAAAACATGCGTATATCTTCTGTTAAACACTCGTCTGCATTTGCTAGTCGCCCGTCCAAGTTCCCAACACGATAGTAGGTTTGGTTAGAGAAATAATTATCGTAAGCGTAATTCACCAACTCTGTTCGGAAGGCTAGCGAAAGTTTGCTCTCCAGATATCGAATCATGCTGTTAATGAAAGTTGCTGGAATGGCAACGCCAATCCAATTAGTCAATAACAAAACAAACTTGAAGACATTTTTCTGGACTACCGATCTTATTATTCGACCGTCGAGAGTCGCCACGTAGATCGATAGAAAAGTCCTGACAAAAAGGCAAACTGAATGAAGCAACAACAATCCAACTTGTTTCGTCCAAATTCCAGGGAAAAGAATCTTCAATAGCCTCCACGCTTGTAAAATGAATGTAGAGTCCAAAGCTGCGGTCCTTTGGTTTACTTTTGATCCTGAACTCGACTCTACTATGGCCAATCTCGCTTTTCTTCCATGTTGTAGTTTATTCAAGATCCTTCGTCCCACAGAAGGTCCATATTTCTTAAGAATGTAAAGGCTAGCGACAGCCAGAGCAGTAGCTCCCGTAATTTCTAAGCGTCTTTTTGAAAAAGTAGCCATATTTTCATAGCTATCCACGCAAGTAGTAGTACCACCTGCTTAAGATATCGTGCGTGGTCGCGGCCATAACTCTCTCTAAACTAGTACCCAGGGCCTTGATAGAAACGCGGCTAGTACAGCGATTGGAAGTACTATATACGTTTGAGGGATTCCATCCTTTATCATTCACAGAAACTGTTACGCTGTAATGTTTGTAATAATCGCCACAAAATGTTGTAACAATCGCGGCAAAATGTAATCAAATGTTTTAACGCAAGATGTGATAACTTTTCTGACGCAAAATGTAATAGCTCTCGAAGCAACTCAGCTATGTTACCCGTAGATTACGTTTGAGAAATGTCAGACTGTTACATGAATCGACCATGAGCTTTTCAGAGTTTTTGCCAGATTCTTAAAGGTAGCTAATTTATTAATTCAATTTATTTTAAATCTCAACCAGTGAGCGGCACTTTGCGAACTGTAGTCGTGGCTAATCTGTGGCCCCAAACAACGTGCTCACGGTATACATGAAATGTCCAAAAAAAATGTCCAAACCTTGCATATACTTCCTGCATGCACTGTATCATACCATGCGTAAAGGTAAAAAATAGGCACTTTATCTAGGATCAGTTTCCAAGCAAACTCATTTACGTTAATTGTAAAAGATTCGTAAAAACTTACCCTTTTATTCATTTTGCTATGAGCTCTTCAGAAAAGAATAAAGTTTCTCATGGTGCAGTTGTAATTTTTTGAACTTTTCTTCAATATTCGTGTTTTTCATTTCAGTCCTAGTGTTTGACTGTCTTGACCATGCCATTATTGGAAGACGCATGCATACAAAAGAGCGGCTCAGATCGATGAAACAAAATCACTGAGTTTATGGCAACAAGTAAGGTTTTCCCGAAATAATCGGCTCTTTTAAAACTCTTGAAGTGGTCAAAAGCGCTACGCTCCTAATTGACTCTGATTATTAGAAACCGCTTCAAAAATGTGTGGTATGAAGGTGAGATTAGAGAGCCGCAGAGCGTGAACTGTATCAGTGATATAGTAGATGAGGCATTTGTTTAGCATCTTGCCGCAGTGAAATACCAATGTTAACTTTTGACGTCCGTCACGGCAAGATCAACTCAAGGCTCGTTTGCACTAGAATTTTCATGAATCTTTGCCCTTTTTTGTTTTCTTTATGTAGGTATTCTTTGAATACAGGTATTTAGGGAAAACTTTCCAAGTAAATGTTACCAGAACCTCAAAAGCGAGGCTTTGGGGTTAAATTTGAATCCGACAAGAGCATGCATAAGGCCTTTTAACATAAACCTTGGCTAATATCAGAAGTTTATTGAATCGAAAAATCACGTAAAAAAATCAATATTGAACTCGTTACTAAGTTTTTAGCAGCTTTTGGTATAATAACGTTTTAGGAAATCTTTACCTGAATAGACTTCTTTAAGAGTGCTCAAACCATTCTTGCCCATTTAGTCTGTGGCTGTAAATGTTCAAACTACATTGTACACCTTTTAACTTTTTAGTTTGGAATTTACTATCTATAAATCGAAAAAATAAAAAATAAAAAAAACCGAAACCTTTTCAAACCATCGGCCCAAAAGGAAATGTTGCTCAAGCGTGATCAAAGCGGGCGTGAGAAATGAGGCGGACCAGCGCTCTTCCGCACCGCTCGCCAACGCTTTGCAGGGAAAAACTCTCCTGGGAGAGTTAGAAGAAGTAGAGACGATTTGTTTAGTTTGAGTTTGATCTTGTTTTGCCCCCGGCGGTTGTCTTGAACTGCACTTATAACAATTGAAAAACCAAACAAACAATCGGGTCAGGCACTTACCAGAACCTTCATCGAATATTCTACGGAAGCGAGGCACCATGCTACCTTTTAAATTGCGTGGGAACTGACTGAATTCCGTTTGCCGCGGAACTGCCCATATGCACGTGTTGCAGAAAATGCATGCGCTAGCACACGTCATTGCTGCTCATATAAGCCGTAGGCCCTCACTCAGTGAACTTCAAATCAGCGTTAGTTCAGAGCAATTCAAACTGGATAACATTTTTTATAGTTGGTAAGGAGCATAACTCGGCCATCGGTAAGTAACTAAAAGCTTTTTGTGTTCAAAAATACATCCTAGCCTGTTTCGTCGATCGTACTTTTGTGAGTTATTTTTAGTTACATTTAATAGTAGTTCACTATTAACCGATTTTATTCCTTTTGTCCTCGCAATACTTTCATCAGACTTAAGAACCATTATCCAGTTAAGTTTAACGATTGAAAGCAATTAATTTGGGACATTTATTCCTGCAAGTACATGTATATAAAAGTTTAAGCTCAGAGAGCACGAAATAAATTATTGTTTGTGCTTTTGTCTTGTGCTCTCAAGTTTTCATAACTTCTTCATGTTTCATACCTCTGGTTTAAACATGAAGAAGTTATAATTAAAATCATGATATTATAATTACCTTCCTGTTGACATCGGCGTAAAGCGCCGAACAACAAACAAAACAATATTCTCCCGAAATGATCGGCCGCTCAAAATATTGTTGTTCATGTTGTGTCTATTCTCGTTGATGGTGTTAGACGAAGCACACCTACAATTAATCATCGGTATTATCTGTGTTTTTACACCCAATATTTTTATTCACACTTTTCTGTTGACGAAGCAGGATTCTGATGATATACCCCTCGGTCTGTTTGAAGATCTCAAAGTCCTTTGGACGAAAATGCTTTGCATCCGGGCGTATTAGTAAAAGCGCAACTCTTGAAGTACACGTGAAAAGAATTAACGACAAAAAACGAAAAACCTAATCTTAAAAAGTTTTCCTTTTTCGCACAATATTTAGATTTTCATTTTGTCCTTTCAAATCGTTTTCCGCGAGCGCAATATTACACAGGGTGCACTCTCCAACTATCGGTCTGATCAAAATGGCCGCATCCGTTTTTACATCGATATCTTAAATGTTCGTCAGCGGCAGTACTTAGGCCATACCTAGAATGTATTGTTTGCCATCGTCTTTCCTGTTGTGAAAGAAGGTCGATCGGTCGACCAAGAAGTGAGGAAGAAGAGAGAACTGATCGAGGCGATCTGAGCGAGAGTTTTGTGAATTTAACCGACCATTCATTGCCTTTTGTAAATCAAAGCCTTTGTTTCGTGGTATTACTGTTCACTTTGTAAAACTTAGCATTTCGCCGAAATTTCGTGATCGCCTCAGCATGTTCGTTCTTTTCCGAAATTGATACTAAGAAATCAGGCTTTCATCGCAACTCGATGAATGGTAATGACATTTCGATCTGCTCATCCCGGATTCCTGTGTTTCGAGTTCTATATATATTTTAGGCAAATTCTAAGTATGAATCAATCTTTGTCCAATCAACTATCAAACCATTTTTACATGCCCCACAAATAGGGAAATAGAGTAGCTACTTTAATTGGATAAACTACACAACATCCAGCGATGAGAAACTTGGAAAAAATTTTTAGGCACTTCTCACAGCTATTCACTACTTTCTTCCTTATTTCTTTGCAGAATCCTTGCCTACAGTTTTTAATTCATTGTTAGCCAACGAGATAATCAAATCAGTTTCAAACCTCATTTGATACACACCACACCTTAGGACTTCAACATTCAGACTAACCTTTGCTTGTAATGTTACTCTTTTTTGCCAGAAATATGCAGGCCACAGCCATCTTAGGTTTCTTGTTGTCAACTGTCCTTACCTTATGTTGGGCGGACGTATATCTCCACTTTCCCGGAGGTAGCAACAACAGATTAAACGGGAATGGTGTCAACGTCAGGAATCCCAACAGGCTGTTTGACTCTCAGGTGGGTGTTTTGAAGGACAGCCTCATCATTTATATGGCGGATGGAATTTAAACACGTCGTTAAATAAGTATTCAGTCATTTACGAACGAAATATAACCTAAAGCGGGAAATGTTCATCGCTTGACTTAAAACTTTTCTTCCTTAAAATCTCAGTACGTTATCCAGCTCATGGCATAAAAAGAGACAAACTAATCACGCCATGTACGAATGTATTGATTATTTGGTACATTTTTTTGTAGAACAATGGCAAAGCCGGTTACAATGTCGGAGACAGCGGAATCAACGCTACCAAAAACGAGATACCGGAAACGAGGCAGCGTCCATTGGTAAGGCATATTTGGATAATTTTACTTCTCTTCTCTTTCTGTTTCATTTTCACTCTTGGTTCCACGGAAAGAATCAACATGTTTACTAGCTGAATCGCCATAATGATAAGGGGTAAGTTTCTAAAGAAACTGTGGTTCTGGGTCGGTGGGGGAGGGGGTGCGGGTAAAAGCTGAGGTTTCGAGTGTTAGCCCTTTGTCATTCGCTCTGACAATCGTAAATAACTATCAGCCCCCGCAAATATCGCTATTGCCCATAATTCCAAAATGTATTCGCTTTCATGCCACTTCCTGAACGTATCATGTTCTTCTTCACTCGAAGGAATTTTTCATGAGCGGCTGTGAAGAGGATGCAAAAACCGAGGTTGAAATTATGTGGACAAACCAACATGGAACGGGACCAAAGAGTGAAGATATAGTGGAATCACAAATCATCCTGCAATACATGTGTCAACCGTATCCTCAAGGAAACGTAACTGATATCAACGAAGATTTCCAGTTGTATACCATCCGTAATGGTGCACAACGTACTACACAAAGGTTCTCGGTCTCGATGCAAGAATCGCGTGTGATAGAGAAAGACCGCGGGCTACACGAGCCTTTAGCATACTACAGATCCTATCGGCACAGAGACGGAAACAAAGGTGGCATATTCTATGAAAGTCAACATTCTAACAATCTCATTTCCAACTTTTTCCGTAAATAATAAATGTCAGTCTCCCTTCAGCCGAGAATTCAAACATTCTCAGCCCCATTTCGCAGCAATACTAGTTTGAGGTTTGAAAATCCAATTGAGCCTAGAAACCAGGAGAGGACACTGTTTAAAGTTCCATAAGTAGTTATAGTTTAATATTAAGTAATTGTTCCTTTTACGGAAACAAAGAACCTACTAAACCTAAGTTATTTATCATTAATCAATTGCGTCTTTTCCTAGCTAATCCCATTTCATATCCTCCTATAACTGCCTCATTTTTTACTGTTTCTCTTCTGTTGCGCAAGGTTGTATACTGCATAGCAAGGCTCTAACTACCAGCGTGACGCTGAGGGTTTTTTGTTAGCTAAGCTATATCTTTCACAATGATATCCTTTTGTGACTTTTTCGCAATCATTTCACAGGTTTGTTTACCGCTGATCAAAACCTGAAAGGTGACAGTGCAATTTACACCAGGCAGAACGCAAATGGGAAGAGAAGGGGATTTGAAGTGCCAGAGGAACGTGATTACTATCCCTACTGGGGCCCCACCCCCTGGAAGGACATTGCTATCATGGTCAGTGACAAAACCACAAAAGGAGTGATAAGGGAATATGTTAACAGTGCAAATTATGGTGACAAGGGTAAGTTTGACAAAGACTTCTCCTCATAAGAGTCCTCGATAGCTACACAAGTGCATGCTGTAGAATGACGCTCTTTGGTTTACTTTCAGGGTTGTGCATCATAAAGAATGGTGTCCGAAAACATCTATGTCCAAGAATACCTCCACTCAACAGACGAAACGCAGAATGTGTGGCCAGGTTCATTACACAGGCTTCGTGCGAACAGGCAGGAGGAAGGTGGACCATAGTAAAAACAAACTTTAAAGAGAAATCCTCTGGCGCCAAGTCTTGTGCCAACATTAAGACCGTCAAGGGCGTGGCGTATGAGCCTCATCTGATAACACAGGGTACTGGAGAGGGCGAGCAAGATCTTGTTCTGGCAGACCCCCCTGAGGTGATATACGCACCATCCACAGTTGTGAATCACAATGGCATGAACATGGACGGGAAGTTCTCTTCATACAAATGGAAGATTCCTCATTTTCCCTCCAACACTATTCAGCGATGCGTATTGAGAATCAGGTGACGAGGGCCAAGGTTATAATCTTATGTTTAGATCTGTTACAAGACCGAATACGAATTTTGAGAACAAGCATGAAGATATGATTATGAGCGTACCCATTGCAACCTGGAAAAATGGTCAAATCGATGTCACTGACGAAAATTAATGAAGGCTCACGGAAAAATCTTGAATAACTCTTAAAATAAAATAAAATTGTTTATTATATTTTCCTTCGGTTTAACCTCCAAGCAACACTAAAATGGTCCTTTAGATTACCAAAATGAGAGACAGCTGCAAATGATATCCATTTAAAGAAACCCTTCACTTTCAAACGCCAACGCTACACCGCTTAATGACCTCCCTCGACTGTTACTTTACCTACATCCATCCTTGACTTGTTATTTGGATATGTGTGGGACTTTGTTTTATCTTTTGGCATTATATTTATTCCCCCAAAAAATGTGTTTTTATAACCTTTCAATAACGTTAACTGTGTCTTCCTGGTAAAATTGACAGATATAACATCACGACAAAAGATGTACCGAGGAATTTTGATGCTTCAAATAACAATGAGTGAGTATAAAGGAGTAATGAAACTGATGAGGATAATGGCTGAGAATTTCCACCCCACCAGCGAATACTCTGATTTCATATTGTCGAATTGATAATGTTTTTATTTGTTCGTTTGTTTGTTTCTTTTTTGTGGTTCAAGTTTACTAGCATAATTTACGGTTAATTGTAACAATCCTGTATTTCCCACGGTCGAACGCTCGGCGGTTTATTCCTGGTCATGTGACGGTTAACCCCATTCAGGACCCCCCTCTAAGCCATGCGTAAACTGTGATGAAAATATTTTAAAACAGGAAAATATAATTGTGAGAAACGATTGCTTTTTTAGCGTCAAAAATGACCCTACAACACTTGCTGTTAACGGCAAAACCAAGCTTCAACTGGCCTTGAACACAGCTCAACTGGGTCGAACATTCCAGGACAGATCGCATGTAATCATCATCAAGCCAAGAAAGTTGTTACCAAGACGATTCCAGAATTCCAAAATCTACTACATCGGAGGAATGGGAAAGAGAGGAAACATCGTTCAGACTTATCCAGCCATGGAATATCGCTTCACCCCTGAACGTATCAATGTTACAACAAATGATGTCTTGTGCTTCGCTTGGTCAGGTGAGTCGGTGACGATCTGTCATATTCTCTGAACTGAAACTTGTGAACTTATTATCAGAGGGAGAAGGTTTCTTAAGAAATTGTGGTGCTGCGTCACTGGGGATATTACAAAGTAATTTGACTTATCAACTAGTTTGGCTACCACAGAGTGTTTCTAGGGCTGAGGAAACCTTAGAAACTCACTACGGTGGCCAAATTACATTTTCAACTCAGTTGATAAAAACCAATTTAACTTATTGTTAGACCAGCTTAAATGCTGAAAAGGGAATGCTTCAGTCGATTTCTTCCCCGTGCGATGTTATCCTCGGCATAAGGGAAGCAACCAAATATTAGTTTAGAAAGATAGAAAATAAAAATGAGGAAGAAGTTTTATTCGGATCGTTAAGTCCATAAACTTGAAAGTTCGGGGTAAATTAATTAAAGTGCATAAAAACCACAAACTAGTTACGTAACAAGTTAAAGGCGTTTTCTGAAAACATACAATGGAAAATGTGAAGCCTGCGAAGTAAGTGATCTGAAGAAATTTCCTGACGTATCAACTAACTACTGGGTATGGAAATGTGACCTTAAAGATTCTTCCAAATAGAAAAACAATCAAACAAACACAATTTCGATGATAAGACTAAAACGTCACATTTTAGAGATATATCCTTGCATCAAAATTTTGTGGTTGTTAATTTTGCACTCTAACTGAAGTGGATTTTCCTAGATCTCCCAATGTAAGTTCCTTCAAGTTAACCATCTCATGAAATAACACGTTACAGGGGTATACTGAGCCTAATGAAAGCTCCCGGGGACTTAAAGTAGACAGGAAGTTTGGGTTGGTTTTCAGCTTAGTTTTGTCACTTTTCTCAGTGCTTTCAGCGGTAGGGATTACCTTTTCAGGAAATAACCTAGCTAAATTAATATTTTTTTTTTCAGGTTCCAATGATAATCGAAATAACGTGGCAGGAGAAGGGCAGAGAGGTTAGTTGCTTCGAAGGGATTTACTCGTCTGCTCTATATTATGCCTTCATAGACCACCACATAACTATGAACGTTAATTCTACACTGACACGATGAAAATTTTTTCAATTCAATAGTGCACCTGCTACCCACAACACGGCTCTTTTTTCAATTTCAAGGAGACAGCCGGGATGGTTTTTTATAAAACAGTGATGTCATCGGGACGAAATTTTTGGTGTTCGAGTTGTCATGAACGAGTTAGTAATTATTTTTAAAACATTCTAAACCAGTAGCGGGTTTTTTGCGGTAAATCTAACTATGGACGGCACGACTGACTTTTTCAGGACGAATCCGTTAACCGGAATAGCTGCAGAAATTCTAGATAGAAAATAAAACAAAATAAAAACTAAAAACAGCAAAAACCAGATTAAAATCATCCTCTTCCCCAGCGACTGAACATTTCCCTCTTGCATTCTCTAAATTCTCCCAGGATCAGACAGAACAAACGTGTGCTGGATAAAGGAAGGATGCCAGTCTCTCACACCAAAGGCTTGTACGAGCCTGCCTCTTGAAGTAGTTGAACAGGCTGATAAGTTTTCTGCTGACAAGTTGAATCTTCACCTCAATACTGGATGTTACAGCGGAAACGAAAAAAATCTGCAAGCTCAACTGAACAACGCCCCAGCTTCCTGCAACCCGCCTTGCTTCCGCATCAAGAGGCCTGGGACGTACTGTTACATGGGCACGCGAAATAACAACTTCTCCAACCGCCGTCACATAGGACAGATCACCGTTACTTAATGTAGTTCGTTGTGGTAACTGGAGCTAACATTGTTGGGAATCATTTTTCCTACATAGTAGTGAATTTTTTTTGATTCCATTTAACAGTATTTCCCTTAATTTCCTTGTTTGCCTTTTGACAATGGTTGCTTACAAGTAATCGGTTGTATGTCGATCCTCACAGATTACATACGCGTTTGCATTTCCTAAAAAGAACGCTTTCGTTTAGCAGTATTATAATTATAACTGTAAAGTATTTTTTACCAGGATGGGAGACTGAAGCAGTAAGCACTTCAATTTCTGTGTTCTCTACTTATCTAATGCTATAAAAAGGGAAAACAGCAATTGGTGTACATTCTTAACAAAGTTATATAACGAGTAACAAAATGCAGCTAAGGCTATAAAAGATGAAGAGAAATAAAGGTCAAATAACCGGAAAGCCAGACCAACTTCGTTGGAGCTTCAAAAGATAGTTGTTTCCGGAAAATCTTCCGAGCTGGTAACTTTTCTCGTGAACCTACAGCTAACAGGAACACTAAAAATCCAATTTCCCATGAGAATTCAAACCACAAACATTCCGGTTTTGCATTCGAAGTTCTCCTTGCCCCCAAACTTGGTCAGAGAGACAGATATTTTTGTTGCACTTGCCTCATATGAGTTTTGAAACACTGAATTGTCTTTATTACTAACCAACTGCTAATTTCCAAAAGGGGGCTTCAAGTTAGCTGTGATATCGCATTCAATTAGGTACCCATGTCGCTTACTACGAGACAACAAAAATGCCGCGGTTGTGTCTTCTAGCTGTGCTCAAATGTCGTGGAGTTTTGGCATCATTCTACACTTTCCAAAATACTTCAGCCAAAGTTTTACAGCGATGGTGATATAACGATGCGTGCGTTGCTTCTGCTGGACTTCTAGTCCTGCCAGTGCCTTGAAATCAATTTCATGACGATTCGACAATCATCCGATCACATTTTCACTCTATATTTGTGTGATCTATCTTATTTTTCCGATGATTCGGATGCGCTCACTTCATTTGAGAAAACTTTCAATTTTTAAAAAGGAGTTAGAATTGCAGAAGTTTCAAAGTCGACAAAAGAAGAACTAATAAGCTTAACCAAAACCTTATGAAACACTGTCTTTAATTTCTGTACTTCTCGCTTCCCTCTTGAATCTTAGCGATATGCTCCCCTGTAGAGCTCGCTTGGAAGGTCAATCGTCGAGTATGGTACCCTGTCACGTTCTCTCTTATCTTCTTTAAAATTTATTAATGACGCTCTTCCCGAAAAATAAACCACACAGTAATTCCCGGTCCAGATTGATATAAAAAGTGAGTTCTCAATGAAGTACACTTAAATATTAATATGATTATTTATGAGTTTCTTCATACTCTCAAACAAGCGCACGAGCCAAGTTTTAAATATAAAAATTTTACTATTAACCAGACTAATGATCAAACTCTCGGATGTGCCATTTTTTATTTCAGAGAAATGTTTTCATCTTCCTAGAACCGAAAATTTATTTTTTAAATCCGGAAAACACAAAGCTGTGAATGTTAGCACCAACGGTTTTTTTCCGAGTCTGTTATTTCGGGATGAAATTAAATTACGTTGTTTATCTAATTTTGACGAAATACCACGAGCGGAAAAGAAATCAAACAACATCTCAGGAAAAAAACATATTTTGTACTGAAAACGGAAAGTACATACACATGTTGCTTTTGATAAATCTTTGTTGGAAGTTTTTCTGAATCATCTATAGATTATCTTGCTGTTTGAACATATTGCCTTAAATGTATACAGAGGAAATAATACTAAAGAAGGGAGCGTTCTCACTGTATAAACATATATCACACGTTTGCGCTTTGTTTACTTGACGAAGAGGTGCGTCTGTTTAACGTTTTAGAACTTTGCAATCCTTGATTTATTCAGGTGTCTGTTTCTCAGGTGGAACAAAAATTCATTTGTTACGCTGGGAACAAACAGTGTCGAGGCTACAGAAAACATGGAACAAATAATTACTTTGCAAAGGTATAGAAGGTGTTTCACTACTCGAGTTTAGGCCACAATACTAAGGTTTAGTTGAGGTGCACGAATACTGAAAACCAGCGAAGCTGCGATTGAACGTAAGTGTTTAGTTAATTTTTTTTTTTTAACAATAGTGTATTAATAAGAAGGTCTTGCATTTAGATTTCCTTTTGGTTTGTGGTTTTCTCTCGTGGACGAATCCTATTACTGTTTCTGCAGTTGTCGTTTTTTTTTTCTTTACGAATATCCCATTTAAGGTGATCTACCGGACCTAAAGAACATTTCCATTCCCTGTGGTAGTGGGGAGTCCTTGATCCCGAGTTACATTGCTTATCTATAATTGTGAGTGAAGAAACCACTCGAAAAATGACTGGATGTCTTTGAAAATACTTGAATGAACGAAGTCACAAGTTTAATTGGTCTAATGTAGTTTGCTTCATTAAGGATGTCATTATACTGCGTAGACTTTGTTTGTGAAATTCTCTTTGAGCCTATCAACATAACGTACTAGCACACTAGACGGTGCTAAAACCAAAATCTTAACTTAACTGCTTTTTTTCTTTCGTCAGGAATATGCGGGCCATATTCACCTTCGGTTTTTTTTTGTCAACCTTCGTTTATTTCTGTTCGAGTGATATGTACCTTCATTTCCCCCATGGAAGCAACAACAGATTGAACGGGAACCAGGCAAATGTGAGGAATCCTAACAGGCTTTTCAACTCTCAGGTGGGTGTATTTGAATCAATTATTTAAATATTGAACAGCTCGCTATACATGTGGATTAAAAATTGAAAAAAAGAACTTGTTTTTAAAGCACCATACCAGTGATTTCTAATGCTTCACATGCTTGGAAAGTAACACAGCTTTGTTTTAATCCTTGTACTCCTTGGCCAGAGCTAATTAAAATCGATCTTATGCCAAACTCTTGCGAATGTTTCCAACAGACAAATTTCTCAATTTGAATGTTTCATCTTTATTAACAATAAATTCTTTGGACCAATTAATAAGAAAATGAAAAAATACGCACGCAGTCGTTTGCCGGAAGTGCTGTATAGTGTTGCTGCCTATAATCTTATTCCATTTCTTTATTACTCTTTTTTAGAACAATGGTAAAGCCGGTTACAACGTTGGCGACAGTGGAAGTAACAATCCAGGAGAAAACATAAAAGAAACAAGGCAGCTTCCATTGGTTGGATATATTTGATAACTTAATTTTTCTTTAAAGCATATTCTTTAGACTCTATGGGATCAGATTGAATTCAGCCTTAACAATGTTAGAAAATTGAAAAATGCCCTTCCGAAAAATAAAACCGGTCTGTTACCATGACGAAATTGTTATCTTCACATGCATGTGAAGATATAAATACGTGCAGTGCGCGTGGTGAAGAAATCACTTTTCCGAGCCGGAAAAATTCTGATATAACACTAGTTTTTCTTTTTTCTTCAACCGAAGGAATTTTTCATGAGCGGCTGTGAAGAGGATGCAAAAACTGAGGTTGAAATTATGTGGACAAACCAACATGGAACGGGACCAAAGAGTGAAGATGTAGTGGAAACACAAGTCATCCTGCAATACATGTGTCAACCTTTTCCACAAGGAAAAGTTACGGATATAAACTCGGACTTTCAGCTACATACCATTCGCAATGGCGGGAACCGCTTAACTCAACCGTTCAACCCCAATCAAGCAGAAAATCGCTTGATCAAAAAAGACCGCGGATTGCATGAACCGAAGGAATATTATCACGCTTATATCCGCAGGGACAGAAACAAAGGTAAAATGTAACTTCAATAAGTAGTTCAACAAGAAAGTTCCTTTCACAAACATGCACCGTTCAGATAAAGATTTGAATCTGAGGTCGATCAAACTTTGATAAGGGGCCAGTCACTGGAGGATTTTTGTAACGTCACGATTAAATTTGCCTAATCCCCCCCCCGAGGCCTCGTAATATTCTTATGACCCCCACCCCCCCTTCCCCCGTTACTAGCATCAATTCCCCCCATAGCGACGACAGGTCCCCCCGCCGTTCCCCCTGTGATAACTGTTTTGTGACTTTCTATCATCCGCCGGTCCAGTTATATTTTTACTCTTACAGTTGTAAATTTCAATAACACTGCACTTTGTTCCAAAAGAGGATGTCTCAGAATAAAACTTTATCTGGGACTAGTATGTCCAGCGGAGCCCTAGAGGAGGGGGGCAAAAAATTGTTTAAGTCCAACATTCGGTAACGCTTCCGAAGGGCTTCTAAATAATTTTAAACTATAATCATTTTGCATGGCAAGGCTCTAACTACCAGCGTGACGCTTAGGGTTTTTGTTAGCTAAGCTATATCTTTCACAATGATATCCTTCTTTGACTTTTTCGCAACCATTTCACAGGTTTATTTACCGCTGATCAGAACCTAAACGGTGACAGTGCAATTTACACTAGACAGAACGCAAATGGCCAGAGAAGGGGACTGGAAGTGCCAGAGGAACGTGATTACTATCCCTACTGGGGCCCCACCCCCTGGAAGGACATTGCTATCATGGTCAGTGACCGAGCTACAGAAGGAGTGATGAAAAAGTACTTCAACAGTCCTAACTATGGCGACAAGGGTAAGTTGTCTCTTATAACTAAACACCATAACTGTACCAGTAAGAGAAATGGCGTTTTTTTGTTTACCATCAGGATTGTGCATTGTGGGGAATAATCAACCTGGGAACAAACCTTGTCCAAGAATACCTCCCCGTAACAGGCCAAGCGCGGAATGTGTGGCCAAGTACATTACAAAGGAGTCGTGTGAACAGGCGGGAGGAAAGTGGACTATAGTAAAAACAAACTTTAAAGAGAAATCCTCCGGCGCCAAGTCTTGCGCCAACATCAAGACCGTCAAGGGCGTGGCGTATGAGCCTCATCTGATAACACAGGGTACTGGAGAGGGCGAGCAAGATCTTGTTCTGGCAGACCCCCCTGAGGTGATATACGCACCATCCACAGTTGTGAATCACAATGGCATGAACATGGACGGGAAGTTCTCTTCATACAAATGGAAGATTCCTCATTTTCCCTCCAACACTATTCAGCGATGCGTGTTGAGAATCAGGTGAGGGAAGCCAAGATTATAGGTGGGGGTTTAAATAGCCCATTGTAAATGATTTAATAGTCGAAAACAAATCGTTTACATTTTATTATGTATATGGTAGCGAAATTATAAAATTTCCATTTGTCAAACCTTTCTCAAATGCACGTAAAATTACCTTTTAACCATTTTTTTACCTATTGGGTGGCGTTTGAGCAACATACTATGCTGTAGATCATTGACGGTACAGTTTAGCAAACATTGTTTTAAGCTAGAGAAGGAAGACTGACTCGAGAAGGCCATCGTATGTTGTCGTGAGGCCGCTTGCATTAAATCACCCCAGAAATTTT